ACGCACCAGAGGGAGGGCGGGCTGGGGCCCTCACTGAAGCAGCGCATCAGGCCCGTCGCGAGCCAACAGGACAGAGAGGTGCTCAGCTCTCCTTCCTCTGCCCACACCCCTGGGGCCTTCCATCTCCCCGCTTTCTCTGACGACATCTCAACAGACCCCCTGCCCAGAACCGAGAGAGATGCCTGCTGTGGCCACGCCTGCACAGCCAGGTGCACGCAGCGGGCAGGGCGCTCCACCTGGGGCCCTCGGAGAAGGGCAGCTGCTCAGGACCTCGGCGCCCCGCCCCCTGCCCTGCCAGGTGACACCCTGCCCCACAGCTCACAGCACGCGGCCAGACCACGAGGCGCCTCCACACGCACAGGGTTAGCCTCCCAGTGCGCACGGCTCAGTCACACGTGACCCGGAACCGCTGCTCCCGGGCCGCTCGGTTCACGTCGGGGATGAAGGCGGGAGCCATAGCGACGTGGAAGGCGGGGCCCTTCTCCACGGCTGCCCCACCCTGGATGCCCTTCCTTTCTCAGTCTCCTCGTCTGGAGGGCGAGGCATCAAGGAAAAGACGTCTCCCCTTTGTCCTTTTAGATTATCCGCGTGGAGCCGAGCATCCACACTGCCCCGGTGTTTCCTGCGGGCGTCTGCTCACACTGCGCCTGTGCTCCCGGGTCAGCGAGAGCCTGGCCCCTGGGGTGTCTCACGCACTGGCCGCGTGCGGAGTGGACAGTCCTACCGTCGCCATCACTGCATAGAGCGCCACCATGTGCGGAGACCACACACCTGCCCCGCCATCTTCCAGCAGAAGACCCATTTCCCACACGAAAGCCCCGAGTTCCCCCAGCCACACACTCACAGGAAAGAGAGCTGAAGGTGAAGACACCGGCCGAGGCCCTGCTACCAGCTCCGAGGCGAGGGCAGTAGAAGTGCTGAGTGTGGTTCCCATAACGGTGCGTGGCATCCAGTCGCCCAAACACACCCAGTGCAGCCTAAGCAGCTGACCTCACCTCACTACCGTGTAACACTGGCTGCTCAGAGAACACGTTTCTAAGGCGATCTGTAAACCCAGGATTTAAACTCCAGAGAACAGATTCCCTGTCTGCTGGGGGTGTAGATGTGGGGGTTTTGGTTTTACTGGACAAACACCAAAAATCGCAAACCCTGTTAACTCATCCCAAACACATTTTGTGAGTTTCACTCCTAATCAAACCACCTTCTCAGACCAGCCGTTCCTCACTAGGCTCCCTCGGAAAGCGCTGCAGCAGACATGTGGTGTGCGGGCGCCGCGGCGGGCATATGGTGTGCGGGCGCCTGACGCCTTTCCTAGAACCTGAGGGGACACCAGGAAGGGTCCGCGGTGTGTTCACTGCCGACAGCAGCGCCTGCGCTCGGAGAGCGGGTTTTGCTTGAGACCCGAGGCTGGTTGCGGGCCTCTGGCCACCGCCTAGATGGAGACGGGCACCAGGGATGTAAACAGGACGGTCCTGGGAGCCGGGAGCCGGCAAGGCAGCGCCTCTTCAGTGCCTGACCCCGCGGGAGGCACCTTCCAATGTAGACGCTGCACGAAACGCGATGAAGGAGAGCAGCCCGCAGGCAAAGGGCCCCCAGAGCTCGATGGCAGGGCTGCTGGCCTCCTGGTGCAGCGCTCCCCCCACCCCCCCATTCCTCTCGGGAACGACTCCTCGTTCTGATGGGCCGGCTGCTCCTCACCAGTCCCTCCTCTGGGAGCCGCCCACCTGCAGCCGCCGCAGGGAAAGGGCCACCCGGGGCACGGTGGGGAAGCAGGGGCCTGCTAGGCCAGCTTCCCAGGCGCCCAGCAGCGGAGCGGAGCCCCTTCCTGAGAACGGCCGCTTCACCCTCAGGCGGGGGCCTGGGCACGTCACGGGAACAAAGGCTCGGAGGTCACCGACACGCCGTCTCCTGCAGGCCTTTCGGTTCTGACCACGGCGTCGAGCGGGCAGGTGCGGGACCCCAAAGGCTGTTTGAGATGCTCCAGCCACACGGCACCGCCCACAGCTGAGCCCGCCCCGGAACAGGCCTGCCCAGAGCCCAGCAGCCAGGGGCTCACTCCCCCTCGGGACACGTGGGGGGCAGTGCTGTGCCCACTTCACAGAGGAGACGGACGCAGCTCAGGATCAGGGAGGCCAATGAGAGTGCTTGTTTTAACCCATGTTCTTCCTGCACCTCGACGGGCGTGTCGGGGAGACGGGCAGGGACTTCAGAAGCAGGTCTGCACCGACCTGGGCGGACCTGGCATTTCTGGTTTCCTCTAAATGCTGGTTAAAAAGTTAACTGGACCTAGAAGCAGGGACATGCTTAATGCCTGGTGAACTCAGAGGAGACGTGCTGAGTTCAGACCCGACTTCACAAACCGGGAACGCCTTCACTCACACCCGGTCACAGCAGCGTGGTCGAGACCCCGCCACCGGGCTGTGGGCAGCGGGACGCGGCCAGTCCGAACTGAGATGTGTTATAACACTCACTGCATTTCAAAGACTTTGCATGAAAAATAAATGGAAATACTTTAAAATTTTTAATACTGATTATGTGTTATAACAAAATTACAATATTTCGGATATATTGCATTATTAAAATACATCATTTTACTTATTTCTTTTACATTTCTCAATGTGGGTAATTTAAAATGTGTGTTTTTTTTTAATTAATTTGAGAGAGAGAGAAGGGAGAGGGATGGAGAGATAGCAAGAAACATCAATGAGACACAAACATCAATCGGCCGCCTCCTGCACACCCCCTACTGGGGATCGAGCCTGCAACCTGGGCATGTGCCCTGACTGGGAATCGAGCCCATAACCTCTTGGTTCATGGGTTAACGCTCAGCCACTGAGCCACGCCAGCCGGGCTGATTGTGGGTAAAGTGTGTGTGAGGTTCACCTTACATTTCTGTTGGACCGCATTGCTGTATGGGAACATTTCTTAAAATGAAGTCTGTTTCTTTCCGATTACAAAAATGTCATTTTTTACCGTAGAAAATAGAGGAAACAGCTACATAGAGAAGCAAACTAAACCCTCAAAAATATCACTGTCTGGAAAGAACTTTCGTTAACATCTTAGAATGTCCGTCTCGCTCCCTTTCGGTGACAGTCACGCAGTCTCCCTCCGTCAGGTTCAGGTGGACGGCACAGAGGTCCCGCTGCTCAGGCCCCGCACGGTCATCACGATGTTCCCGATGAAGCCCGTTGTTGCCGTGACTGCTCTGTACCTACCCGCCTGCACGGCTCACTCCCTTCCCCTTCTCTCCTGGCCCAACGCCCCCGACACTGTCAGCCTGCTTTCTGTTCTCAAAAAGTCTCTACCTAGAGATAACGTCTGAGATCTGAGAATGTCCTGGGTCTCGCTCCTGATGGAAATCTCTGTGTGACATTAACATTTCGCATGGCTCAGGCTCTGGTCGGCCACCATCACGTCCCACCTGATTCCTGCAACCTTCTCGCTGGTCTCCTCACGTCTGCTCTTGCCCCCTCGGTCATTCTCAAACCAGCCACCATCGCATTCCTCTGCAAACCCCACCTGACTCCCTCTCATGAGGGTAGGAGCTCCGCTCCCCACAGAGGCCCGTTGTGCCCAGCCGTTGCCCCTGACCCCGCGCCCAGCCTGCTGCCCCTCG